TTAACACTTTTTAATGTGCATTTTAAAATTTGTGTGTTTGCAGGAAATTGCACAAAATTATTTATCAAAAAACATGTTTTAGTAGCAAAAATGTAAGATATCGACTGCCATTCGTGTGCAAAACTGAAATAAATATCAAAAAATATAATCAAGAAAAAAATCTGTGAATTCATGAAGAAATATTTTAGCTTACAAAATAGTTTCAGTTCAATTTTAAACAAAAAAAAGCAATAATTATACTTTAAAAATAGTAATATTAATAATTAAGTAAATTTTACATAGCTTCTAAGGAATTTAGAACAGTGTCTATGCATTACTCATATGTGCTGCTTATCACATAAATTGTATACGCAGACAGTTCAAAACATATTAACTATTTTTATTTTATTCTATTTTTTTGATTTTGTTAGAAACTAATTCAAAACATAAATTAATCCTATTTTATTTACATAACCCCTGAACAAAAAATCTTGAACGTAATCTGATACCTGGGATTTATGTTGAGCTTACATCATTTCGCAGTTATGCAGCACTGGCTTAAGTTCAGCACTGACACGCCAATTAGGCACAGAAAATATTGCAAATAAAATCATGAAAATTTATATTCATTTTAATCAAAACACAAATCATTTCAAAAATGGAAAATAATCCAAAATACCTCACTTTGCCAACCAAAATAAAAAGCATATCCACATTGTTATATATGACATATGTAACATTTATTATAGCGCTCCCAAAAGCCTGCCATGTTTGACCTTTTTATGATTTTATAACGGCAAAGCATTAAGCATGATAAATATGTGCACTGCTTAGCCAAAACAAAAGAACACAAAACCAATCCGCAAAAAAAAAAGAAAATACAAAAGCAAAAAAAATAACAACAAAACAATAATCCCAAGTTTGACAATTTCGGACAGTTTTAAAAAGTTCGCACTTTGACCTTAATACGCATATAAGCCGACAAATCCCTGCAGCTGTGTGCTTGCACTGAGTAATGCAATCGCAATCGCAACCGCAACTGCAACTCCAACTTGAATTATGTTCAGAGTCAAACGCTCAACTATCGATAATTCATATTAAAACCGCCTGCCATTGTTAGTATTTTTTGCAATTATTTTTTAAATTTTATCGCCTGTCATTTGACACCTAATTTAAGGCGACAAAAATTGTTTCTTACCTTATATTTTCCATAATTTTTATATATACACACTGTCGTCTTTGTTGCTTTCTTTTGTTCCTAGCCATAAAACAAACACACAGTTGCAGTTGCATAGTTTGTTGTGTGATTTTCAAGCTACGCCCTGCCTTAACTTACTTATGCGTGTTGCTTACTCGCTGGCTTAATTCAAAAACTTAGCTAATAAGCTCAATAAATGTACAACACCCGCTGGCACAACTGGAACAAACGCCGATATTGTTGCATATTTAGGCGCATGCACATATACCAATTGGAAATTGCAATGTCAAACTTTTTGCACTCCGCTTACAACACTGTTTTACCTTTTGTGCGCCGCAGAATACGACATGTTGGCACCACCCGAGTGGCAGTCAATTTCTGCAATCAACTCACAATCTCATTAATAAATTGCGCTGCGTGTTGCTCTTTTATTTTAGGCTGCTGCGACGCCAACGTCACAATATTTTAATACTCTATATATTCTTTTACTCTATATATTAGCTTTTAGCTTTTTTCTTTCTTTTCTATATTTATGCTGCTGCGGACAACCGCACAAGGCTAGTTCTGCTTTCGCTGCTGTTAGTTCTGCTTTCGCTGCTGCTGTTGCTGCCGTTGCTACTGCGCTTTTATTATTTACATTCATTTACTTGCTTTGCCATTGTTTGTTCTTGTTTTCTTTTTGTTGTGTTTTTTGTTTTTTGTTGTGCCTTGTCTTATTTTTACTCTTTGCTGCTTACTTGCCTATTTTGTTTGTGTTCTGCTTGCGAAGAATTGACTTTTTTCCACTTTTGGCATATCAATTTTAAGTCGCAGCAAGCGTCGATAGCTGGCGCTGCATGTTGTGTATTAATTTCAAATGCGTGTGTCGGCAGTGTTTGATAAGCTTTTTTTCGCTTCATTTATTGTCATTGTTGTATTGGCTTATTTATATACTCTATAGTGTTGTTGTAATTATTTTATTTTAATACAAAATTATTAATGACATTTCATTGTCAAATATTTTGATAGCAGTAAAAGGCGTCATTACTTTACGCTTCCTCTGCTGGAGACTTCGTTACTCTTTGCTAGAAAACAGTTAAGTGCATTCTTGCTAAAATATGATAAGTAGTGGTGGACTAGTTAGTAGCAAAAAATAAAAAAAATTAACTAACTATAAAAATACATACTAAATTTTGGAGAATTTATTTTACTTATAACGGATAACTATGCAAATTGAAAATATTTTAAAATAATAAATAATATGAATTTATAATGAACAAGTTAGAATAAAGAAGTCTAGTACGGTATTGGCTCAGATGTTTAAAATGGGAGTCTAGGTTTCAAATTTGGAAGGGTTTTAGTTCATTTTTGTTCATTTCTTGCTATAATGATTTGCTATAGTAACCAAATAAATTATTTTAAGTCAAACTTTGTGACGAAGGCCACGAAAGCCATGGTTATAGAGAGAGCTGATAGAAATATCTGACTGCCTTGTGTCGAAGTATTAAGTTAGATATTGGGGGTAGGGGGCTTGCATCGCATGACTCACAAAGCGTCAGTGGTAAGTGTGCATCAGGTGGTTGAAATATCAGGGGGTGTGTTAACATTCGGGTGAGATACAATCAGGCGAAAGTAAAGAGATACTCGTTCATGCGATAAAACGCAATCCGTTGGAATTTTTTCAATATATGATGTATATGTAGAAGATTATCCAGGATTATTCAGGATTATAAAAATCGAGATTTTTATAATTTTCATCATTTATTGATAATCTTGCTGTTATGCCTTTGGCATTCCACTTATTTGAATTCTATATATGTACATATTCTTGCTTATTTTTTTATCCTTCTATTCTTCTATTACATAATATGTATGCGTTACTTTTCTTATAGATTAGGTACTTTTTACTATTTTTTTGTATTTTTGACAGTAATGTCTCTGTCTATGATATTTTTTCGTTCATTTTGGATGATTTCCCCAAGTTTTTATTGTATTTTTTTTTTGTCGTCAATCTCATTATTCATTTTGTCTTTAATTACTTTATATCAAGTGCTTAATCTCCTTTTTAATTTTATTGACATTCAACTAATCTGAATTCTTTGGATATATTCTGCCCTCATGCGTTTATTCTTTCCATTCTATTACGTATATTGCTTTCAATTAGTAAATCTAGATTTGTCATTTTTTGTTCAAATTTTGTGGCCCAATCGAAGATGTTTAAGGTAGGCCCAACATATCAAATATATTTCAGCTGCCAAATAACATAGCAGCTAATAATTTCAGGGTAATTGTATTAATCGGGAAAAAAAATATGGAACTTAGAAATTCATCTCTGGTATATGTATTGTTATATGTATATTAACTAATCCAATAATCCAAATAAACACTTTAAATCCGGGGTGAAAAAGTTATCCCAGATTTGCGAAACTAAAACGACATTGATATGCCTATTTATATTTTTTTGATTTATACGGACTTTGTTCTATTTTTGGATAGTTATATCTCCCGGTTTTTTTCTTTTAGTATAATATGTTTTTAATACAGGCATGTATGATATGCTAATACTATACCACTGTACTACTATTTATTTGACCCATATTGCATAGTTTATTTGAAAAAGCACATCTGCAGCAATCTAATACTTTCAAAGACACGAAATTTGAGTAAACGTTTGTGTCAATAGAGTTTCCACCTTTCGTGCCACACACCATGTGAAAGAAAATTTTTATTAAATGAATTCTAAGGATACTTCAACATGAAATTTTGTAACTACTGAAATAACATCAACCATTCAAAATGTATACTTGGGTTCCAAGAAATAAAGACACAAAAACACAAACAACAACAGTAACTAAAACTTAAACTTAAACAGTTAGGAAACTGTAATGTTTACATTAAAACCCACAATTGCACAGGCCAAGAGTGCTGC